TCAGAAGAAGCAAAACTTGGAAACTTTGATTAGCGCATCGCGTAGACGGTGGAGCTTCGTCGAGAGGAATAGATTGCCGTAGCGTTCGCATTCAACGGACATAAAATGACGTCGCAACGCACTTTATGAGAGAGCCGGGGGCTTATGGGACTCTGGGATCCCGCCATAAAGTTCATATTTGGGAAGGGCTTTGCCTCCCTCCCTGAAAACTACGCCCTTGAGTCGAGTGCCTGATAAGTTCTAATGTTGCCACTCACCACCACAACCACCGCCCCCGTTATCTGGCAGGAGCTGACAGTGTCTCTCGTTAGAACGAATTTTCAAATGAGTGGTCACGGCTTGTACCTCGGCTGGGTCTTTTTTATTGGGAGGTTTTCAATGGCGGTAAAGTCCAGAATAGCAACACTACCTCCTGCTATTACAAGTTAATTCATTTGGATCATCATTATGAGAGTTATAGTCTAACCCCACCCCACCCCTGTTACGGATAGACGGACGGACATGGCTAATGCACAAATACTTTCAGCCTGAGTTGGAAATCTTTATTACGAATTTAAGTGAAATCACACGAAATGTTATTGTGGTCTTTTCCGCGATTAACTGTGAATCCCGTATCATAACGCATGCTTCCAGTGACTATCTTGGTAGGCAAATGTAATTTGCATCGATTGGCATCTTTGCACCAGGGAAGAACATTTGCTGAATATGTATCTCAGTGGGAAGACACATTTGGGTTATCCTTTGCTGTGAAATAGTGACACCTACAAGTCAGCATTGCGTATTACACCTTGATAATACTGGATGAACGCAGAGCTCACTGCTACGTTCCTGGGGTTGCAGCACCATCACCTGGTCTGAACCCGTTTCTCTCCCCATAAACCAGTCTTTGTTCAATTGATGCAGCCTTAGTGGCTAGCACACTGTCATTGCAGTCTCTGGCGAGGTAGTTGAAACATTTCGGCGAGTCTCATAACCACCCCCAACCTCAGCTTCTATCCGCCCAGTAATATAAATGGGTACAGCACAGTCGATCGGCAGGGTCACGTGTGGTGGGGTGAAGTGTGGGTACTGCCACCTATTGCCATAATTGCTGGGTGGAGACCCCGCCAGCAACGGCGTGAGCAAGGCATTGTATGGCTGCATCTTGACCTCGACGTAAAAAAATCGGTCCATTCCACACATGCCCAAAGTCAACTGCTCCTGGCCACAGCAGAATGATTAAACACAAACTCGCATTATTGCCAATGCTTGCTTCCTACCCACCTCATTCATTCACTCTGTGGGGTTAAGAAACGTGAATAGGTCATTTGTGTGTGTGTGTATATACTCTATACCAGGGGTCGGCAACCAAAATAACAAGAAGAGCCATTTCTTTCCAATTCGGTACAAAATTCAGTATTTCAAGAGCCGCAATGCATCTGAGTACGTACTCATCGTCAAGAAGCAGCCCGTAAAGAGCCGCATGCGGCTCCGGAGCCGTAGGTTGCCGACCCCTGCTCTATACACACATGCAATTGTCTAATGATAGTGACATTTTTCTCAGCGAATATTGTCGGTGGTGTATTGCAAAGTCAATGGCCACCGTTGTCTCCTGTACAGCTAACCAGTGCCAACTTCCTCTCGCAGTCACGCAAGATCGTTGCACACGGAGGGCGGCGCGAATATACGCGCGACTCTAAAAGTGAATCGAACACATCATCTCGCAGGTATGAACGCCTTCCAAAGTTGAGCGCAATGTCTCTACTGCAAGCCACGTTATTAATGGCCCCCCTTCATATTTTCCAGCCCCATCGCATGGGGACAGAGGGGCAGGGCTAAAGAGGACAGAGCCCGTGCCCTCTACCCTTGGTGAAGACTCGGCTTTCCCTTCATATTGGTTCTTTCGGTAAAGTCACGTAGAATGGAAATAATAAAATAATATAAATATAAAACAATACAAATTCTCACGACGTTTCGACTGCAACACAAGCAATCATCAGGTGTGAAATCCACAGCGACAACATTTTCGTCGTGATAATTTTTATTGTTTTATATTTATTTTATTTTATTATTTCCCTTCTACGTGAATCTACCGAAAGAACCAAGAATATGCCTCTATATTAGTTTACTATTTTTCGATTTAAAGCTTTCGTGACTCCAGGAATTCATCTTCTTGGTTCTTTCGGTAAAGTCACGTAGAATGGAAATAATAAAATAATAAAAATAAAACATAATAAAATAATTCTCACGACGTTTCGGCCACAACGCAAGCAGCCGTCCTCAGGTGGAGAACAGGTCTGTCGAGAAGACATTCAGACTCTATCTTCTCGACAGACCTGTTCTTCACCTGAGGACGGCTGCTTGCGTTGTGGCCGAAACGTCGTGAGAATTATTTTATTATGTTTTATTTTTATTATTTTATTATTTCCATTCTACGTGACTTTACCGAAAGAACCAAGAAGATGAATCCCTGCAGTCACGAAAGCTTTAAATCGAAACTCGGCTTCCCCTTATAGATAGATTATCATCGTCGTATCGTTACTCATTCTGCTTTGGCGTTCAAACGGCTGCGTAAGTTTGCTTGTCATTTACAGCGTTGTGCTCTCTGCTCGTCCCACCCTGAAGTTTGCGTGTGTCCCCCTTTAAGCAAGGTCAGGCTACAGGGTTGATGTGAACACATATAGGCATCCCTACTCTTAACACCTCATGCGCATGCCCTTCCATATGCTTACGAGATGCAACAGATGTGTGTATTGACGTGAAGATAAGAGCACAACGATGCTTGGTATTTTGTTTTGAAAGCACATGGGCTTTGTTCATTATTTATAAAAAAAAATTATAATGGAACAAACGAATATCATATTTCCCATGTATTCCTTGTAGAATTCTGTGACGGAGTTTAAAGTGTGTCGCGTTACTATATTTTTAAATCGACTTGGCTTTTAAATCAATTAGGCTGATGGGCTAAACTAGTTTTTATTTACTTGTGTATGACAGAATGAAGATCTGCTTATATATGCTTTTACTTATAATGCTCCACAGCAATACATAATATGTTTGTGTGGAGTATCGGTTTTTGTCTGAAATAGGTGCCATAATTTCACCTGAGTGTTCTTGCCAACAACATCTGGTAATCCAACAGCATTTATTTAGCAAGTCTGACTGCTGATGAGGCCCAGAGGATGGAAACGAGTCCAGAAATGTATTCCTTAAACGAGCACTGTTTGCTAATATTATTCCGGAAAACGAATAGGCTGATGGACACAAATATGTCTTTTATTTATCTATGGAAACAAAATGTAGTTCTGCTTATATAATGCTTGCTTTTAAATGGGAGATTAGCAACGCCTGTTTTTAAACGGGACATAAGCAATGGCAGTCGACAACAGAATACTTGAAAACATTATCCGCAGAGATGGGAATTGCAGGCACAGAAAAAAAACTAATTTTCAAAGTCATGGAAAACAAACCTGGGAAGTAGAGTAAATGGTTTAGATCTCAATAACATCACCACGGCTTGTAAATATTATCACACTAGTTGCCTGTTGGTTTATTTATTTACCTATTTATACGAGCACGCTTATACAGGAATGTGCTCTTTCGATCAATTACATTCTAGTTTACAGGAAGGTCCTAGAGCAACAAACAGCGAGATAAGTTGACTATTACATAAAGATACACACGTAAACTATATACACTAGCGTGGCTGTAAGGTTTATGCAATGTATTTCCCATATCCAGGGCCAGCTTAAGTGTTGGGCCCAGAGTATTTTATAGTTTAGTTTTGGGGGTCCCTCCCTGTATGCTTAATTCCTTCCCCTGATTGTTTTAAAATCACCCCGTGCCCAATGTCAATAACTCCATTGTTATTCATCGTGGTTATTTCAGTTGTGTTTTGTAAATGTCACGTGTAAAAATAAAAAAAATTCAGCATGTAACTCGTAACAACAGGCATCGTTATGATATTCCTTTCATTGACACATTTCCTCTAGGATTGGCAGTGCAGTTATACTGCGTTTCAAATATGAGAAAATCTCACGCATATTCTTGGGGAGGTCATCATGTGAGGCCCCAAGCTGCACCTTCTAAAAGCCGTTGCATTTATGTGACCCTGCCTATATCTCGCAGAGCGTCATGGGTATTGCCCCTGAGGCAAACAACACCGAGTCCAAGTGGATTTACTGTAACGGTTGTGTTTCACTGTTGAAATGTCAATTTATTAAAATTCCTTTTCGGGAATATGTCTTCCATTTTCCAAGAATAACCTGAAAAAAAGTTAAATTATGAAAAAAAAATGGGCAGATATGTGACCCATCGTTTTGTTTTGATCCAAAAGCATGTCAGAAGAAACGACATCACTTATATTGTTTCAATGCTGCCTTTATCCACAAAAAGTGGTGTCATGTGGCATGAGATTACATCACTTTTGTGAGCATTTGGCATGTTAAATTATAACAATATTTAATAGTAAGCCATTGTAATTTCCCCCCAAAAATTGTATATCCCTTAAAAGTCCTAAAATCTGAAATCAGACATAATCAGAAACTCATTCTGAGTCATTGTGAATGTGTGTGCTTATCGTAGTTTCCGAGCCAGTTATTTTTTTTGTTAAGAAATGCAGTCCCAGGGGGAAGATAACTTCAGGCACTGTAACAGTGGCGTTTTGAGACCCCCTGTGGAACTGGTATACATATTTATAGTCTTGCTATGTGAACTCTTCTTGCAGATGTTTTTTATGTTACTCTCAAATTCAAACGTACTGCTTGTTATTAGTATTGCTTATGATTGCAACCTATTACCTGGTGGGTTCTTAAAGGCACGCAGTTGTTCTTAGATGTTATGTCGTTTAGACTGCATTATATTACTTTGTAAATGTTCCAAATTTCACCCCGATGCCAAGTCATGAGATAAATTAGGCCTATCCATTCGTATCTCTCACAGAGCACGGAGGGCAGTTTATATCCTATCCATCCCGTATATAAAAAATGAATCAGTAATACTTTTGACAGTAATTAAGAATGTAAATGTTAAGATTATTTATTAGTATGCTTTTTTTGAAATGGTACAAGCTGCAGGCAGGGTGAATATAAGCGGTAGACATACATTGAATACATTATAGCTCAGAATTTGTCATTAAAATCATATCTATATCATAAAATGTGACGATCAAAACTATAACATTCATAGCATAACGGTGTTGCTCTATTGCTGGTTTAAACAAATCGCCAATTTCAGCTGGATTATTCAGCATTTATATCTCTCAACGTTTTAAAAGATGTCACCGAACAGCGTTATTCTCTGTCAAACATTATTTTGAAATTTCCCTCCAAAGTATAGGTGCTAAAGCAATTTTGTTTACATTTGTTGCCAAAATTAACGTAAACATCTGCAGTAGTTGGGGCTTAGCTATCAATACAATGCAAGTTATTCTGCACAGATGGGCACAATTGGAAAAATTAACGAAACAGCAAAAAGGTTCACGTGATTTGTATCCATCCCTTGTTTGGTGCACACTAAAAATGTTCATGCAAGCATCATTAGACCCGTCACATTTTATGACGGTGGATAAGGTAAAGCTTAAATATTTAGAAACCCTTTTGTACATACGCTTTCGTTTTCATTGTATGTTTCACATTCACCCTCATTTAAAAGATCAACATCAACATCGAAACTTTTACAATCCTCAAACATTTTATACATGAAATCGGATAACCCCTTTATTTTTTTTTTGCATGTAAGTAAATATATTTTGTTCCTCTTTCAAAAATTACTTACTCCTGGTTTAAATCCTCTCATGTTATTGCTTGAAAATTTCGGCATGCTTCATCTTTAAAGTATAAACATTTAAAAAATAGGGACAAAAGATAAGTTTGCTGTTTGAGATAAAATCAGGACGAAGCATAGCAAACGTGTTGCATAGAAGAAACTAGCAACAAAAATGTTCACAATTACATTGCCAGACTGTGATATGACGCCGGATTGTAAACTTTTGAGATAATAGTTACCTTCCGAATTAGACCTGCTAATTGTAATTTTAGACACCCTAACCAAATAATTCCTGAATCAATGCACACATTTTGAGACTTCAGATGCTAAACATCATTAAACAGAATGGCGGTGGCGGTGGTGGTGGGTGGGTGGGGGGAAGGGAAATAAAGAGCATGGCATTTAATAAAATAATGATGAAAAACAAAAAAACAAGTCCACACAGTACCAAAATATGTTTCAAGTTATAAAGTAAAAAAGAGCCTGAGTAGACATTGTTCCAGCCTTAGTTGTTGTCACAGAAAGTGGTTTGCTCGTACATCAGACGTCTCACTCACTCCCATCCATTTTTTTTTAAGCGCTCGACTTCCGGGCTCGATACCGAAGAACTTAAGACTCGGAGGATGACTCTGCAAGGTTGTCCTGTAAGGATTTGAACATTTGCGAGTTCAAGAAGCGGGGGTAGGAGTCTCTGTGCATGAGGGTATAGATTTGCAACTGCGCGTCGTCAAATGTGTGGGACGTCGGTTCCAGCATGTTCCGATTGATAACCTCTCGTACGCGGGAGTCAAGGCTGACCTGTGAAGTCAAAAGTCAAAGTGTACAAGTTATCCTTCTGTTATTAAGTTCTAGATTTTCTATGTTTATTTAAATAAAGTGTGCAAATACGCTGACTAAAGACCAAAACGCGATGCCGGGAGACGCGCTCCCAGGCTTCGACAATATTTTCTTTAAAAGTAATATTTATTGCATCAACTTTATACAGAGTTTAATAAAAACAACCCCATATTCAGATATCTGTCGTGAACTTTGACACGTAATTTCATGACAGCATTAGCATGGGACAGGAATAGGAGTGGGGTGTTTATTTTTAAATGCAGGAATGCAAAGGGGGGGGGGACACGTTTTCTTTTAATCAGCGGTACAGCACGTGATGTACTGCAAAACGACGCGAAAATATTTAGTGGAACAACAACATTCCCACACACCTCCTTGGGAGACAGTATCGAGATATAGTCCTCATATATCACCCGGGCCTTCTCTTCAACGGCTCGTTTGCTGGCTTCTCTTTTCAAGTCCTCGCAGGCCAGCCAAAAGAGCATGTTCTCTTCACTAAATTCAGTCCGTAAAAACTCTCGGAATATATTTCTTCCACCCGCGCTCCGGATCAGCTTGTCAAAAGACTGACCCCACACTTGCACCTCCTCCATCGATGGTTTTCCACTGCTTTGGGAGTGGTTGGGTAGAGGGGGATGGACAATTCAAAACATACATTTTAGACCTCATAATGAAATTGCAAACAATTATATGGCAAACACATCGTGAAATCCTCAGTCTCGATTCCGGATGTATGTTGAACTTCTTTTGCACCGTACACAGCCAACCGTGCTAATCGGAGGTGCGGGAAAGTAATATGAATGTCATTGGTAGTGTAATCGCTCTCAAGTCGAAGTGATGTCCTGATTCAATGAGCATCAAGGCCGTGTGCATCTCCCGTTTACAGCCCAGAGCCAGCGTTGGAAGTTTCACAATCATGTGACGGGGACATGTCCTCTCCATAGGACAATCTTTTGTCAAGGCGCTCTTCCCCCTCCAACCCAGCTTAAATATACGCTCCAAGCCTGGGGTGTTTCATTCAGACGCTGTCTTCCCAACAGACCTGTTCTTCACCTGAGGACGGCTGCTGGCGTTGTGGCCGAAACGTCGTGAGAATTATTTTATTGTGTTTTATTTTTATTATTTTATTATTTCCCTTCTACGTGACTTTTAATTTTATTATGTTTTATTTTTACTATTTTATTAGTTCCCTTCTACGTGACTTTAATTTTATTATGTTTTATTTTTATTATTTTATAATTTCCCTTCTACGTGACTTTAATTTTATTATGTTTTATTTTTATTATTTTATAATTTCCCTTCTACGTGACTTTACCGAAAGAACCAAGAAGAGGACAATCACGGGTGACTTCCCTGCAAAGTGATACTCATTTTTTTTTATCGATCCTGCACAGAAGTTAGCATGAGCCAACCCTCCGCCGGGGAATTCGAACTCACAAATATTGCGATGGTAAGCCGTTCCCTTCGCCATCGAGCAACCTCTCCGGAAACCGCCGTGGCGAGTTAAAGGCAGATGCCTGAAATGTCTTGCTCACAGCCACCGCTGTCAGAAACGACCTCTGGCGAAGGGACCTCCAGAGAACCCCTTCCAAAGACTGTAATAAAGCTGAACAATTTTCCAATCAAAGTGAATATTTGCCTTTCTCATATGCTCACTGGCTCTTGATTGCAGTTTTCAGTGTGTGAAGATTGGCATTATATACGTAACATATTTACGGGTCAACGGAGAGGTCTTGCATCTGGACTGTGCTGCAAATCTGTCCGTGTTCATTACTGTCTGATGTTTGGTTGAGCAAGGACTACAGATGCCAGACTATCAGCAAAGCATACCACTGTCTGTAAGAGTAAGGCCATGCACAATGCCTACCCATTACCTTCCTCGACCAATGGCACTTTGCACCACAACAAACTCACACTGCTACCCTCAAAGTCCCAAACTGCTTGTCTGTGTTTTACGTTTTTTTATCACTTTTCACTAAAATGTAAAGAATGCATGAGTTGAGAATCCATGCTGCTTCGTAAATATTTACAGAACACGTTGACTGGCTTCAAATAAGTTGTATAAAATCTCATTTAGGTTCACCATTGGAACCTCCTTTTCCAGTAGCAAAATATGATAATTGTTTTTTTTCCCCTTTTATCTGGCAATAAAACGGACACCTTTTTTACAAGGAGTCATGTTTGCATTGACCACGATACCTGCGGTCGGAATGCAAACAAAAAACACAACTCTGATAATGTATAAATACTAATGTATGCACCGTCCTTGAAATTGATTGGTCCAACACCATGTGAGACGAGGCTCTAAGAAAAGCTGTCTCGGGTGTGGACCAATCAATTTCAAGGACAGTGCATACATTATCAGAGTTGTGTTTTTTGTTTGCATTCTGACCGCAGGTATTGTGGTCAATGCAAACATGACTCCTTGTAAAAAAGGTGTCAGTTTTGTTGCCACATAAAAGGGTAAAAAACTAATTTAGGTTGTTTTGCAGCATTATGAGTAAGAGCATATATAAATATATAATAAGAACTCAGAAAAATATGTCTCAGGAAGAAAACTGGACTGGTTTTTGGCAATTCTGGTTCTCATAAGCAGAGTCAAGCTTCGATTTAAAGCTTTCGTGACTGCAGGGATTCATCTTCTTGGTTCTTTCGGTAAAGTCACGTAGAAGGGAAATAATAAAATAATAAAAATAAAACAGGTCTGTCGGAAAGACAGACCTGTTCTTCACCTGAGGACGGCTGCTTGCGTTGTGGCCGAAACGTCGTGAGAATTATTTTATTATGTTTTATTTTTATTATTTTAATATTTCCCTTCTACGTGACTTTACCGAAAGAACCAAGAAGAAGAGTCAAGCTTGTTTAACCCTTTTGCGTTCCAAGATGCATGCAAGTTGCAGGGTGGGTCCCGTTCATCGCTGAATATCAGAACACGCAAGCGACTCGCCGTTAATTGTATTTAGAGAGGCATAGCGCCTGTTTTTAAAGACACTGTACTCACCACAGAGAATTGTAGTGACACGACCGCACTCTACGATAGCTGGCGCCAAACCGTACCACACACCCTCCCGCATGGTCTTGTTCAAGCCTCGGTACCGATAAAGTTAATTTATTTTTTCTTTCGATTCCATTCCGATGATGTGCCCGCATGTGCCTGTACGTCGATGACGAACGGGCATGTCATCGGAATGGAATTGGAAGAAAAACTGATGACATACATGTACATCATGGGAAAGGGTTTACATATATTTTGGGGTTTGCTCGTTGAAATGACATGTTAGGCTAACTCAAAAGCTCAAATTGATTTTCTACTCCAATGAGTAGAATAATGTTGAGGCAGCGGTAGAAATTCCACATTCCAATGGTTGCAAGCGAGGTCTTTTGAGAGGACAATCACTGCCGAATTATCCACAAGGCTATTCCATTTTTAAATCCTTTATATTAAGTTCACTTGCTTGCTTGCGCGCTTACGACCGTGCAAATCTTTCGGTCGTTTTTTAACCCACTTTCCGTGATCCAATCGAGCTGACATTTTGCACACAGACTCGTTGTGCGTGACAATTTATTTTCGTGAAAAAAAATTCCAAAATTTTCCACTTTTTAGGAAAAAAAAATATTCATTATTCATTTAAAATACCAATTTGATAAAAATGAAACTCTTACTCAAGAAAAACAGAAATGAATAATAAAATAAAACCGATGCCACGCATATAAAGGATTTATAGTGAAAAACTTTTTTTTACGGGTTAATTTTTATTGATCCTGGAAACAAGGTGGAATGAGTCAGCCTTCGACTGAGATTTTAGCTCACAATCTTCTAACTGAAAGCCATGCAATGTAACGCTGTCACCCTGCCACAAGGAAGCGGTTGTATGAGTGGTCGGTCATAATGCTCTACAATTTCAAGCTTTGAACCTGATGTATACTTCAGAAACATTTTACACCATCTTTTTGTTTCATATAGCAAGTATTACATACTCTTTAGAGGATATGTTTGTACTGCGTGAAAGGCGTAATTATATACACCCTTTGTCGTAATACAGAAATGTTACTTGTTAATTATTCTTTGAAATATGTCTCTGCTCAAACTCTGAACATGTCAGTACCTTTGAAATAATATTTATGAAGTAGTAGTAGGTTTTTACCCTTTTAAACTGGTACAAAACTGACACCTTTATTCAAGGCATCATGTTTGCAATAACCACAACACAAGTAGTCAAAAAAGCAAACAAAAAGAAGCAACTCTGATAATGATAATAATATGCACTGTCCTTGAAGTTGATTGGTCCACACCCGAGACGGCTTTCTTTAGAGCCTAGTCCCCATTGGTGTTGGACCAGATGACACCAGAAGGCGTACAACTCAAACACAGTGCAATATCAGAGTATTGAAGGTAAAAGTGCAGCACTGCAATGTTTTTCTCCACGTCACTGCAGATTGAAGGGCCTCCACTCTCGAAAGCCCTTACCAAAGGTATTTGGCCTAATCTCCCACGCTGGCTAGACATCTTGGAATATCTCTGGAAATACTGTTGGGTTGGAATTTAAGAAATGTTACCATTGTTTCAATTGCTGCATCGGGATATTGTTTGCCTATGGATTGTAAGTACAGTATGATAACCATTACACGACGGCAACATTTCAGAAACTTTGGAATTAAATTAATAACAATATACATTATACAACCACGTATAACAACATGATCATTACACATTTTATATCGTTCAGCATCATATTCTCTGTGGTAAGATTGCCTTTTCTTTGCCGCACACTTCCCTGAAAAACCATAGATTTAGCTTACAACGTGTGATTGTTAAGATTAACCTTTGAAGTAGTCGGTGAGGAAAATGTATCGGTAAAAGAAAATAAATCACACACAATGCTACACTGGGAAATTTCACGTATGTGAACGAATACCTGCTGTCTTTGTTTTGGACCATTTCAATCCGAGTTTCGCGGGATGCACGCCTGCTCTTCCTCCTTGCTGTCTCTTCGTTTCCCATCGTAATGCTGCATGGGAGATGCACCACAGGTCCATTCACCGCTCACTTGCACATCGATTACAATGATGTTTCAATGATATCTCGAAGCAACGATTTTTCACTGTTGCACGCACATTAATATTTACCATTTTTTTGTTAATGGCATTTTAAATGGAAAGATAAATAAACACAGTGTGGTTTCATACAAATGTTATTTTTTCATTTAGTGTCGTTATATGTTATGTGTGTAAGAACAAAACAGTGTTTGGTGTCCAATAATAAATGTAAATACAGTACACAAAATAGTACTTACCCTGTCCCATCAGCATTGTTAAGCTTAAAATAAGGGCTTTCACAAATAGGGATATGAATTAAGGATAAAGTATGTTGCATAACAACAACACACTTATTATGCAACAGTTAAACCTTTTTTTCCTCTCCCAATAACACAGTGGCCTGCATATAAATGTACAAAGCAATTCGTTGTAAGCTACGCCATGTTACAATTAATCAATTTGAGGGAGACCAATTCACAAAACGGCCGCAGCTGAAAGCATGCAATGGCAAGTGCAAATTGTGCAGGTGATTTGTGGCCAAAACAATCGAATTGCCTAGGCCGCCTCTGGGCTCTGATGATGGAACAGGGTATACTGTACCAGGAGGAAGAGCAGCAACAGCACCAACAGAAGCAGCAAGCCGGTGAGTGTGGAGAAGCCGGTGCCCCTCCATCATTCTGCACCGTCTGTCGCCTGCCCATGTCTGCTCACTTGCATCCCTTATCCTGTGAACGTGACACAAAGACAGAGTTTTCCCATATAGCCTTTAACAGACTGGTGGGGCAAGGGCGGTTGTTAGCGAGCACCTATGAAGAGCAGCGTGGCACACGAGAGGGTGGGTGGCCAGCACCACGGTCTTTGTCGTCTTCCCAGTGGCAATGTTTACGCATCGTGACAGGTACTTTTTTGAGGCTGAGTCGATCTAGGGAAGGCCCGGGGCTGTTGCAGATCTTTGTCAGTGGTCTTGGCCGTCAGTCGTAATCGAAACTCTGGCCTTCGGGTTCAAATCTCTGCGCTAACTACCACACCGCTTCTCTCCACGGCTCCAAATGTGGCACACACACACACACAGGGCGCGCGTTCACACATGGGCGATAATGTTACTACAAATGCCACATGATGAAATGGTAACAAAATTAGTGGCTGGTGCGTTGTTTTTTTTAGACGTATTCAAAGGGTACAACCGCCGCACAAAATAAAAAAAACAATGGAATTTTCCACGCACAACGAGGCACGAGGATGGCTTAATAAGAGGTGTGTATACAGTGCACACACACACACGAATCGTAAGTCAGCAGCAAACAGAGTGTTCCATTTTCATGGGGAAGGGGGAATTTGGTTGGTGGCTGTGATATATAGGAGAGGATGCAGACTGGGCATGCACGAGGGTGCTGTTAGAATTCGAAACCATCTCCACGTCAGCCAGAAAATGTCTAAAAATAAAAGGCCTTCGTGGAATTTACCCTGGTCACTAGATATATTTCCAACTTGAATCATTTCCAACGCCCTTGCACATTTGTTCATTTGTTTCCCATAACGCCGAAACTGCCTTGGGTATTGCATTGCACGGGATGTGGCATTCTCCCCTTTGGCCAGGTTTGGGGAAGGCAAAGTAATTTCTTTACTGCATAAACGATAGAACACTCAATATTATATCAATTAGACTAAGGAGATGTGGAAGGGGGGGGAGGGTGTCAGGACTATTGGTGAAGTGTGTTCTCCTCCGGAATGTTAAGACAAAAGGGACATCAGCATATGCAGCAACAACAACACGATTAATAACACATCACTCCAATCACCCTTTTATCAAGGCCCCTTCCCACTGAGGCAGATGACATAACCCCATTCTTGCAGAAGCAATTTTTACACAAAGGGAATGACGGCGTCACTTCCGCCTGGTGTAAAAAAAGAGACATCTCGATCCGCCAGTGGCGTCGTACAATGCGCAGGGCTTTATAAATAGGAATGATCAAATAGACCGGGTGAGACAATAAACAATACCAATAATCATGGCCACTTGGTCTCCCGTGTTCGTGACATATGGGCACCCAGACTAACGTTGATTCCCGCCGCCAGCTTTGAATTAGAAACGTGAGCAACGCTCCAACAAAAACAATGAATAATTATTGCATTTATACGGACACAATGAGTCCACATAAATGTGCAATTTTTTTCTTACAAATGCAAGTTGGTTTTTTTCAGTTACGGTTGTTGCATATTATTATTATTATTCGGTCTTGCACGGACATCCTTTGGTATAAAATTATGTTTGTAACGTGGAGCCAAAAAACAGACAACACATTTTTCATGAATATGTATTACAAAACAAATAGAAACCCACAATGAAAACACGTTTGCACATATACCAAACAAACACGCACTCACCACACCTTATACAGCATATACAATGAGCCACATCCAACGTACACATAAAATGTATATCACTGTGTATAATATACGCAGTATATTAAATGTCAAAAAATGCGCGCACCGGCACGAAATGCTGAGATCCGCAAGCCGCCGGTGCCACATGCCGTGGATGTGCTTACCGGGTGAGGCTGGGGGGCCCAAGCCAACAGCTGTGACTCCTTCGTCGCCTTCACGCCCGCATCAGCAACAAGAAGGAGCTTCCCTCCCGAGAGGAAAGACTCCGCCTGCCATCGGGGCGACCGGCCTTTATCGCCACGCCGGCCATGCAGGCAAACGAGCGAGCGAAGAAATGAAGAGAGATGATGCCGTTGGTGGTGGTGATGATGATGGTGATGATGAAGTTGAAGATGAGGACGACGACGACGATGATGATGATGACGGTGATGATGTATGTACACGCGAACGCAGGCGTTTGGAAGGGCGGAATGGTGGGATGACGACGATACGGCGAGAGGGAGAGATGTCGGTGGGGGCGGAGAGCGAGATGTGCGAGATGAGGTTGAGACAGAAGGCAAGGGGGGGGTGGGGGGGGCACAATGGGACCACGTTATTTCTGAGCTGCGCCGGTGTGCATCTGACAAAACACGCGTCTTCTTCCGCGGCACGTAAATGGTCTTCCTTGACGTCGCGATCGATTGATTTGAAACGCTAAATAAAATAAAAGATAGCGTTTTGCCCTATTCCACAATTTCCGCCTACCATTATTTATTACATATTACGCAATTATTCATATTGACGCCGCTTGCAAAATCGTTCCAAATGCATTGTTGATTTCTCTCTGCCTGCCCTGCATCTTTTTGTCGTCGTGTGCTTCCTCTTCTTTTAATTCTTCACCGAGTGCTTGCGGTTCCCCATTTCCATTGTTCTTCAGTCACCTACCACCACCACCACGATCATCTTCACCCGCTTAACGCGCGCGTGCGCTCAGGTGCCTCCTCCGTCTCTCCTCTCTCGCACTAGAAACGAATCTTCCTGATACTGCTGCTGCCGGTACTCCCACTATTGCTGCTGCTCCTGCTTCAGAACAAGCAGCAGCAACAGCAGGATGATGATGACGACGAGGAGGATAAAGGAGGAATGGTGGACTGCCTCCTGTGAGCTGAGCGCTCACGCCCGAGCGAGCTGTCTCAGGCCAGCAGTGCCGCAGTGTTGTGTGCCGGGTGGCGGAGCAGCAGCAGCAGCGCGCTCTGTCCCAGCCCGCGGGACAAAGCGAGGAGCGGCGTTCCACGTTTTTTTTTGCTCCAGCGACGGCGCAGGGCTTAGCGGGCGCAAGCGCTGTGAACGGGGAGAAACCCGAGTTCGAATTCAAGCCACGGCGAACACGGGTAGCAGCAGCAGCAGTAGCGGCGGCGTGTGAGTCGTATCTAAAATGGTATTGGCCCTTTTTGCACCCACCCACCCTCTCTTTCTCTCTCTCTCTGCCACACACCCCCCACCCTGACCACCCCACTGGCCCAGCGTGGTGAAGTATGGTCAAAAACACCCCATGATCGACATGGCGTGGGGAATCCTCTATTCATTTTGTGGATTGAGATATTGAGATTGGCTGGAATAAAACAAACAATCTCCCTCCCCCATCTAATTCCGACTACACACTTTCTGCTATACAGTGCGGTAATTGCAATTAGAGGGGACGCGCGGTGCGTTTTAACATGTTGGGTAATTGTGTGCCATTGTGGAGCGGTGGCGCAGTGGTTGAACACACTACGCTATAAGGAATCGGGCCGCACAAATTCGATTCCAAATCGCGGCCAACACCAATAACTAAACTAATCATTTCGTCAACCCAAATAGACCGGCGTGGGGAAGTATGGTACAATTACTTCGACGACCGCTACGGGCGTGGTGAGACCTTTATCCAGCAGTGGATTGACAATGGGCTGCATGCTTTGTTAATCTTAAACCATTGCTGTATATATAATCACTAGCCACAATCGACTGCTGGATGAAGGATCAATGAAATGTAAAGAGTATGTTGAATTTGTGTTACATTTTGAACCAACTATTACATACGGAACCCACTATCGGCCATGCGACAGATAGAACACGTGCAATTATAGTATAAGGAATGTACATGTACACTACTGTGTCGACAAAGATCCCCCATATAGCCTTAGCAGACTGTTGGGGTAAACACTGTTAGCGAGTAGCAGGGACGGCACAAGAGGGGGGGGGGTGGGTGGCCAAACATAACTCCCGACCTCCTTTGTCTCCCCAGTACTGATGTTTACACACGGCACCAGGTTCTCATTTAAGGCCGAGTCGACCTGGGGGAGGCCCACGCACCAGGTTCAGATATTCGCCACTGATTTTGAATCGAGCTCGGGTCGCCGGGTTTCTTAGCGCAGTGCGCTAGCCACTACGCAACAGCTCCCCACACACGTACCACACGGCACGGAGTGCAGTGGTCATAAGCCGTGCACCGAAGCCGTGAGGTTTATACGTGTATAAATGATTGCGTGGTATATATATAATATAATAGAGTACACCGTAAAAGCCATTTATGTATGTGCTGTAAAAATTGCATAAGTTACATTGGGTCATTTAATGCTTGGTCGATTTGTAAACCACGTTGCGCAGAACAGGTCTTCGTTTCATGTACCTACATTTAATACACTGTTAACATTGCAATACACCTACATTCTAAAAAGCCTCATCATCATCATCAGCCATGGTCAATCCAATGCTACCCAAACTCGCTCTCTGCTAATGCAGGGCAGCGCCAACGTGTTTCCGAATGTGTTCAATTGCTCGTGAAGATGCTGAAAGTCGCTATGCTTTCCACTTCAGATTCGCGCAGTGTGTATTGCAGGCAAAGTTGTAACAAACAAAGGCTGCAACACGCGTGTGAATGCGATGACGAATGTTTTCATAATAACGTTTTTTGGGTAAGATCGCGTAAGTATAAATCTGTCAGCCCGCCAATACGTGATACACCTTACTGGTTGTCTGTGTCGGGTGGTGGCGGGTTAACGACCCAGTTATACTGGTAGGAACCTCCTGGTTACACCAGCCCACAGGGAATTATTGTGTCTGTCCGTCCATCGTGCAGGGAGGGGCTGGGTGGGGAGGGGCTGGGTGGGGAAGGGAGAGTGGGGAGGGGCTGGGTGGGAGGGTGGGGCTGGGTGGGGAGAGGGGGGCTGGCGGGGAGGGTGGGGCTGGGTGGGGAGGGGCTGGTCACCCCGTGGTGCCCTTATAAAACTCAACGTTTAACCTACTCACACCGGCTTGTGCCCGCCCGCACAGTCGGGCATATTTGCGGAATACACCACGCCGCCGTTGACCCTGGCCATTGACCGAGCAACCCAACGTTTCTACCAGCTCCCTCCGCAGGAATGTGTTACTTAGGCGATATAACCCAAAACACCTTGATTATGAATAATATTGGTCGCGAAAGCCTAAGCGTCAAACTGATGTACGTTTTAGAGGCAGCAGAGTACGCACTGTGTATGTATATTATTATGTGGCCCAACACGTGCTGAAGATGGATCTATCGTCAATTCACAACTCGCATGAGAGCAATGATAAATAATCGTTGCTTCGCAACTGTTGAATTGAATGGGGGTTTTTTTTCTTCCAGATTGTCACCACTTCTCCACTAGATGTCAATACTGCACAACCTTTTGCGTAATTGTGAACTTTCAGACGCAGCTCAGCTGACGGCCTACATTCTCCGAAAGGTCCTGCGTAGACAAAAAAAGCATCGTGCATTATGTGCAATATGTGATCGGTCAACATTTAAGTGTAAGCAATGCAAGATAAAGACACCACACGATATATCAATGCATTCATTTAGGCTGATAACAGCACACACCACGTGATGTCCTGCAATGTACCACACCTCTGATTAGCACGGTTGGTTACATACAGTGCGAAAGAAGTTCAACACACATACAATATCTTAATTTGGAGCTTTCGTGACTGTAGGGATTACTCTTTGGTTCTTTCGGTAAAGTCACGTATAAAGATAAAATAATAAATTAAATAATAGCATAATACGACGTTCGATTGGCAACACAAGCAATCATCATCAGGTATAAAAGAAATAGCAACAACAATCTAACCAGAAAACTATAGACAGACATATAAGCGGACAGATATCACAAAGATACACAGAGAGAGAACACGTATCGGCACGAAGAGAGAGAGATCGTCTCTGTGACGAGGCCTTAAATAGAGAGAGGGGGGCGGGGGCGGAGAGAGGGAGGGGGCAAAGAAAAAAATAGCATGTCAATGAATCTTAACTTTGGAGCTTTCGTGACTGCAGGAATTATTCTTTGGTTCTTTCGGTAAAGTCACGTATAAAGAAAAATAATAAATTAAATAATAGCATAATACGACGTTTCGATTGCAACACAGGCAATCATCATCAGGTATAAATGAAATAGCAACATAAAATCTAACCAGAAACAATTATAGACAGACATATAAGCAGACAGATATCACCAATATACACGGAGCGGGCAACACAAGTACAGAGAGGGGTGATCGTCTCTGTGGGGTGGCCTTAAATAGACAGAGGGGGGCGGAGGCAGCGAGAGGGAGGGGGTTAGAGACAAAATTTACATGTCAATGAGTACGACAACGTGTGGTACGGTGTACGCAAGCTTGAAAATTACGAAGATATATGTAGCATAGCCCTAACATATAGCCCGTTACCAATCCACTGGTGATGGATATTTAACCGTACTTGGCCACGATGGTCACTGGGTGTTGGTGAAGGGGCGGAGGGAACCCGCACCCAAGACCGATTCTGACATCACTCGTCACTTTCAGTTAGCCGTGGCCCTGAATCGAACTCGGGTTAACAGGTAGGTGACTAACCCCTGCGTCACCGCTCCCCAAGTCATGCGCACACTTAGGCTCGCTAATGGAAGGGTGAGTTGATGCCACGGTGTATATGATACACTTAGTTCTTTCGGTAAAGTCACCATGTAGGTAAAAAAAATGAAATTAAAATTCATAAAAATAAAACAATAAAAAATCACGACGTTTCGGAGGCAACACAAGTCTCCGTCATCAGGTGGGACCGTCACAGCCAGATTTGCTGCATCAAGTGCATCAAGTGTTTTATTTTTTTATTTTAATTTCATTTTTTTTTACCTACGTGACTTTACCGAAAGAACTAAGAGTATGAATCCTTGCAGTCACGAAAGCTTCAAATCTAGAACGGTGTATATTCCTCCACGTGGATGTCTTCCACGAAATCTGAAAACGTGTGGCCCGGTGTTCTTCAATTGGCATTATTGGCGCAACCGGCCAAGATGATGAATGCGGCACCAGTCGGAAATACGTTGTTGTCTTTGCCTACACAAACAATTTAGGCTTTGGGGCGCGTCTGAACAAAAAAAAAAGCCGTGAGCTTGTTATTATTTCCATCACCACATAAAGGGTACGATTAAATAAAATGTAACAAGCACAAAACAACATGCGTGCTTAAACGGAAGCGGTTTTTTTAAATATATAAGGGAACTCTGAAACGTTGCTTGTGAACGTGTCTTTGACCTTGAGTGAAACATAATGAAGGCATAGATTGTGGCACAAGCCCTGTGACAAAGACAAAGATCACCCGTATAGCCTTAAAGGAACTGTTGGGGCAAGTGCTGTTAGCGAGCACCTGTGAAGGCCGGCACGGCGCACGAGGGGGTGAGTAGCCAGAAACCACGCCCAGTCGTCTTTGTCTTCTTAGCGGCGATGTTTACACACCACACCAGGTATTCATTTGAGGCTGAGTCGACCTATGGGAGGCCCAGTACCGTTTCAGAAAATCGTCACTGGTGTTGTCAGTGGCCGGGTTCGTAGCGCAGAGCGCTAACCGCTACACCACCGCTCCCCTGTGACACGCACGGAACCCAGAGAGACCAAATTTATCGTCTTCACGGCACAGATTTTGTATCCAGAAAGGGGGAAATTGTGGGATGTTGGCATCTCGCCTCTTTCTCTTACGGGCGCCACATCTTCGTTACGACAACGTCACCGCGGTAAAAGAAGTTACCGTTGCTCGTTTTAACCAAAAGTTTTTCAATTTAAGTTTTCATTTATTAGGCATAGCCCTGTGAGCCATTCGGCTCTTGAATCTGGTGCAACCGCAGCAAACAAAAACATGAACAAGAAACATCTTAAAGTGACTATACGCAAACAGAAAAATCCAGGTTTTAACCAAAAGGGCTCCGTGGGCAGTAAAACGAGGTTCTTGCCCAGCTCGCCCCCGTAACAAAGTTGCGGCGTAATTGAAGAAGGTGCCTCACTTCGCCTCGCCGCTATTGATATTTCCGCGAATTCGGGCCGGTCTAACGAGAACACGAGTTGGTGGCCAGCCTAGGTGGCTTGTTAACACACGCGTGCTTGGCTGGCG